ATAATATTACTGATTCATTGTGATGATATGGAAAAATTTATCTATACTTTGTGATTAAGCGAAAAACTTTCGATACGAAGTTGATATTTACATACTAATATGTATTGTTGTAACCCCAGAAAGCTGGGTAATAGCAACTGTCTTGGTGTACATTAACAATTTATTGTCCTATTACAGACATCAATTCTCAACTCAGAAATCTTCTTTCTACAAAGTTACATTCAGTTTCTTCATTGCAGATCGACATCAGCAGATTTAAAAGTAGTCTTTTCAGTTGTATTTTTAATTTCTTATTTTCTAGATGTAATACCACACTCAGCTTGTCTCGTACCCATCTAACTAAAGCGTTCTAAATTTGCTAGCTCTTTTCGAGTTTTCTTCTCAGGTACTGCTCCACTTAGACACTGTCTTGTAACAATAACCAACAGAAACTTATGCGAAGAGGATACTTGGAGGCTGTGGCCTTCCGACGTGTGACATATCTCATGGCATTCGCCTTGAAACGCTGATCGCAAAAATGTATTCGTTATTTGCAGAACGATATCTCGGAAAAACGGCATTCCCATCATCTCAAGCGTTTGCCCAAGAGTACGAGTAATTTCGAAGGTGCTGAAGGCCTTGGGAATACCTCACACAATTTCAGTCGCGACTTGACTTGACAATACTACAATTATTCGCAATTGATCGTAAGGAGTCTTGAGTGTACAATAGATAGGACATTGACATTTTACAATATACGAATACATGCTGTTTATTTGAGGTCTGCCAGTTTTGAATTTGAAGAATCCGGCAAATTGCCGGATTGCGTGGCGATTGAAATCGCGAGAATTCCAATGATGCCCGTTTAGTCTCGGTCAGTGCAAATATTTTTGCGTTAGGCCTAAGGCATACCTCGCGCGATTTCGTCAAATCGCTACATCCACACGACTTGACGATTTGCCAGATCTCTACAGATTGACCGTGCGCGGGTCTCAAATGCATAGGCGTGTAGCTATCGTAAGTTGTAGCAAACCCATCAAGTCTGGCCCATACAAAGCGCGGTTACGGCCAGATATGAAGAGTCGCTGCAGCGTCAAATCGCTCAGCGACTGAAGTCGCGTGAGGTATGCCTTAGGCCTTAGCTTTTACAAGCGCCAATTCTTATGGGAAAGCGTTCTGCAGCTAGAGCAAATATAGTTTCAAAATCAGCGCTTCAAGGCAAGCTTTTTATATATAACATATTCCAAAAGATCACGGCCACCAGTTATCCTTTCCTTGTTGAATGGACAAAATAAATCTTGGATAATAATTCACCGTGGGTCGGTAAGCTGATCAGGAGCCAAACATAAGCGTACGATATCGGCATCACATATATCCAGATTGTGTAATTTTCGTCTAGGCAACGCGAGATGTTGACCGCTATAGTCAAAATACTCAAATGGATAGAATTCCTACCAAAACTCATACCGCCTTTTTACACACTTCTCTTGTGAAACGCCTTCCTTGTACTGTTAAGATTGTGCATATCACATAGCTTCATTGAGATAGAGCGTGTCGACCTTATTGCTTTCCGAAACTGAGCCAGATGCCCTCTTCTTGATTCCTACGTTAAGGCTTCCACCCTTCCTCTCATCCATATTTCGCAATTGAAGCATGGTAGTGTCTATAAGATTTTTGCTCATACATTCACCTACTATTTCAAAAGGTAATAATGTGCAGTATTCAGGCTCTGGGCAGGGTCAAGCGTGTTGATGCGATCCTGGACCCTCATTTACGACCCCCCCCCCCTTGAAGGTACGCATCCGTACGACCCCCCCCCCCTCCCCTCCCCTCCCTCCCCTTCCCCCATCTACCCCCCTTACCTCCCCTGCCCACATTTCTCGCGGTAACCTGCATAAACTAATGTCAATCTCAAAAAACCCTGCGCGAGAACTTCAGTGGAATTTCGGAGGCAGAATTTCTAGGCCAATGGGTGCGCCCAGCATCTCTAGCACATATACACACCTTAAATAATGTTTGAGATTCTGTAAGTTTACTTTTGAATTTTCAGGCATACTTCAGGCCAGCAAATTTGATTCCCGTATGCGATACAAATTTTTACACGGAGAACAAAATGACATTCTTGAAGTACAAAAGATGTTTTCGACTAAGAAGCTCAGTTCTTACCTCTTCCACAGTTTTTACTGCGAAAAAATCCGCTTTAGCACCGTCTAGAACGACGTTAAAAACATGCATGAGTACGGTAGTTTGAAAATCCGTAACTAAGGCTAGGAAAAGACTGAGAGGCTGCAAAGAACAGGTTCAGTAGCATTTTGCCCAGATATTCATAGAAAAAGTTTCAGCTCTTGAGGAGCAGTGCGCTCGAAAAAATTTAGATCAGGCTCTCGCAAATTTAGATGCGATCCTAGAAAGCAAAAACTGGGATTTTTGAGCCTAAAATTTTGTAACTTACCAGAGAAGTTATAAAACAGCCTGAAATTCTTACGATGAAAACTAGAGGGATGGCCTCGTATTACAGCACGTTTGCAGCTGACAAGCTTCAATAGCTCCGGAGAAATTTAGATCAGGCGCAGATACGACCCCCCTTTTCTCATTTTTTGCTAGCATACATAAAATCATAAGAAAATCCGCAGATTATAAAATAACACCAGATTTCGCACAGCAGTAGTAGGGCTTATCTAAAGTACACATAAATTGTAAGGGCCGCATAAATGACATTACAAAAAGATTTACGAATTATTGATTGTCATCGTTGATCTACATATGCGCTTTTGTCGAGTGTGCGAGTCTTCAGTGAGCCTTCGGAAGCAGGATGTCTACACCGATCGGTACATCCAACATCTTTATCACACATACATGCCTTTGGCAGCATTTGAGCTTCTGAAAATGTTTATTTTTTGGATTTTAGTCATGCCAGCAGGGTTCGATCCCCGTTTGAGACAATATTTTGCGGGAGAAATAGCGATTCCCATAAAAAAAAAGAACTAAGTCATAATCTTTCAAAAGTGCAGCAAATGAAGCGAATTCCTACGCTTGCGAATGTTTTCAAATTATTGTTCACTCGTTTTTATTTGATATTAGTACACGGCATTTCATGAATTTATTGTTAAGAACATGTAATAATTACTTGCCATTTGATTTGCTTTCAATCGTAATGTTTTTTATCCAAACTACCCCCTCTTACGACCCCCTCCCCTGACCGTAGGCCCCCTTTACGACCCCCCGTTGCGACAGTCGCATCACACGCTTGACCCTGGCTCTGGGTATGAAGGACCCTCGGAAGAATTGGCAGCGTAAATGTTTTAATGATCGCCAACGATTTACATGCGCCTATCTCACAACTGCGTTTGAATATCTTTTTCAATTTCTTGCAGTCATAACACGTTCTGCCGTCAGACCAACTTCATGCATTGTTGCAACTCTATAGCGCTCTCGTCAAAAATAAAAGCCTAGAAGGAGCTCCGCTGGTCTTATCGGGTGCAAATTGAATACACTAGCAATCTCAGAGCAAAGCGTACGGGATCGTGGAAAAACGGCCACTATGCGAATATGCGTAGCCATAGTTGCACCTTTTTCACCCACATGTTCCAACCCCAATCTTGAACATACTGCGAATTAGCCAAGCAGATTATCTTCCAAGCGTGATCTAGAATTTTGAATTTCATTCAGTGACTTAATATACTCGTGTGGCAGAGATCTGTTGACTTCGTAATGCAGCATTAACTGATGCAGCCGCAGTACATTAACGTATCCGCCCTTTCATTGGTAGTGTCGCCTGCTCATGTGGCTGAGACACCCAGTCGCCAAGCTCGGGCCAATTGTCAACTTCCCACCTCTCGAGCTGCGTTTGAAAGGTGGCGCGGCGAGGAAAGGCGAAGAAAATATGATACTTCATGCTTTTCGCTTACGAGAACAACTAGCTTTTTAGCTACCCATGGTGGTGATGCCGAAACTGGCGACACAACTTTCCAGCTCCCTAAATGCATCTGAATGCGTCATAGCTCAAACAATCGAAGAGGTTATCAGTATCTACGCTTTGCTCATGGTCTTGATTGTCAACTTTCACGTGATGTTATGGTACAAGCATTTCTAACAATACTTCACGAGGGGTTACGTCAAATGGCTCAATAACACTAATTTAGCTGTTTTTGTATCCCGCGTCTCATCAAAAATTGAATGTTGGGCAAAGCGATGACACAGTAATCGATATTTATGATCTTGTGCTCTATCCGTCGTGCATTTCTAGTGAATTCCACGCGGGCGGCACGAGCGTTGGTGAGCTGAGCGGTTAAAACTTCTACGCAATAGATGCCTTGTGTTGCAAGTCCGAGCCTTCGTTCAGTAATGCTGCCAACGGTAGCTGATATTCGCAGTAATGCTTCTTAGACTTTGTCTTCCTTCGGCTGCTTAATGTATTTTCGCTGAAAAACTTGGTTTCTTTATGATAAAGTTCAAGGAAGTAAATAATAAAATTGACCATCTTGTAGCTGCCACATATCCTAACTTATCAAACGCCCTGTACTGTGCAAGCAACGCTATACTGCTGTAGTAAGTCTTCCTCTTACTATAGCAGAAATCTATTACCAAACCCTATGATTTTGAAAATAAATAGGCAAATGCGCAATTTCTTTAAAGGCTACGTTGAAATTCTATACAGAGCAGCTGGCCTCAAAGAGGATCGGGCACTAACAGCGATCAGTCTAAGGCTGAAAAATAGATGATTATTCTGGTTTACCATTGAGCACATTTGACAGAGGATGATACACTAAGATATCCTTTTCTTACTTTCCCAAGGATAATTGACAAAGAGGAAGTAGCGATCGAAGATCACGGCTATCGCAACGCCTGAGCTTCTTATTCTAGAGATTATCTTATAGAACAATTACCTCAGACTTCCTTCAAGATAAAGGCTTGAAAATCCGTAGTTTTTACTGTTTGAACTCATGTGCACATCACATCCGAACGCGTACTTAGCGCATCATAATTTATTTATTCCAAACACAATAACACTAAGGCTTTTAGCGAATATCTGCGCTGCTCGACATGAAATGTGATGAACGATTAGAAGAAAAGCCTGCTAATCAACTAAAAAGCGAATCGAGGGCTGGTGAGCCAGAACAAGACTCGAAACGAAAGCCAGTGCCATTCTTAGAGCTGGTGCGAAAATGTCAAATTTACATGCAGTAGTAATTTTCTGTTTGCAAAAAAAGAATTGTTTCACCAAGATTGAGTGAACGATGTCACTTTTAGTTTCGCTACGCTACCAAATGGGACAAGTGCTACGTAGCCTTGGGATTCACATTGTCCATAATTACTGGAATATTATTGCCTTTCACATCAGTCGCCGATGGTTTATTTCCCAACATCTATCTTACAAATAGCGACGTAAGTAGCTGCTCATGGTAAAAAATTTTTGGAGTTAGATTCTATAAAACATTGGTCTGGTGCGTTTTGAGAAAGAAATTTATACAATATTACACGCATGGAGCGCTGTTTCGCATTATTTCACATGAAGTACGGGAAATCGGAATATGCTCAACTCACTTTAGATCACTTATTTCGTTGCAAGGCGGAATGGGCATGCGGAATTACACAACTTAATCTTGTTGATCTGCATAATCATTTAATATGAGCGCCTTTAAATATATGCAGTACTGAAAATTCTTTTTGGTCTTGCGCAAAACCTTTTGGCGGTAAGTTGAAGGCATGATTTTATGTAAGCAATTTGTGGGGAGGGAGGAGCAGAAGTGACGACTACTCATTAGCGAATGAAATACGTCTCGCCGGCGGCGTGGCTCACGCCGCGCCCCCTTTTTCAGATCTTAAAAGTTGGGGACCCGCAAAAATTTTGAGAAGCACCCCTCCTTTGTGAATGTATGTTAATGAGGCCCTCAGTGAATGTGAAAAAGTCGACTGAAGGTGTTAGGGAACAATTATGTCATTAAGCGCAGAAATATTGAAACTTGACTTAGATTGCTGAATGAATTTGGAAGAACCCAAAAGCATAGAACGCGATAAGCGACAGCATGATGTCGATGTCATGCTGATAACGCTTGTCATTTTGGATACCCCACTAAGTTGGCAATGATACGACGTCTGCACTCGTACATTGCTGAAAACCACAACCGTATCTAGAGGTATCCTCTGAAGAGTATGTTTACTGCAGTAGGATGAAATGAGTTTGCGCGGCAGGATTGTTGATTTATTCTTGTGGTGCTATTTCCGTTCTAGTGCAAGATGTGCCATATTATTACTACCGGTTTAAGTTCTTTTCTAGCGTTCTTCAATTAAAAAACTTTCTATCGCACAAGGTTTCTTCTGTAAGATTGCTGTGTGGTTCAAACATTTGTCCCACCTCAACTGTGTTGAACTTACGATTCTGCAATTATCGATGACGAAGTTACATCAATAGTAAGCGTGTAAGTATTGGGTTCTCGGTCTTGCTCATGAAGCAGATAGCGATAAAGCGGGCCAGCCTATAACTTAGGCTGCGTTAATACTCATACGGAAGTCAGGGAACAGTTAGCACAGCGCTTGGAATGAGCACTGTGCTGGAGCTGTTCCCGGATTTGGGGATTAGTTTGAACGCAGCCTTAAAACCGATCAAAATGGCAAGTTACCTGTGTAGAAAATTTGCATAGTCAGGGAACGCTCCGGAACGGTTGCTTATAAGTTACAGCATGAGCTTGATCACCGATTTGTTCTTTTTAAACCTGTCTTAAAGACAGTGTCCAGGCAAATTTGGGCACATAATTTTCTCGTGTGAAAAGTGATAGCTGGTCTCAACTACGGCATTGCTCAAGTGCTAGCGCAAATTATCCTTTCACGGCTAAGAAATCCACCTCCAAAACTCCCAAACTCTGCGCCGTGACCGTAACCCACAATTGACTCTGCTCCGACGCACTGCGTTCGCGCTAGGACCCGTTTCTAGACACCCACAAAACGTTCACGGCGCAGGCGCAGAGCGTTTGGGATGGATTTCTCAGCCGTGAATGGACAATCTGCACTGTCGTTTGGGCAGTGTCTTAATTAGGATCCCTCCTTCAGTTTCCATGCAAAAAACACATGCGCCCAAATTTGTCTGAACACTGCCTTTAAGTTTTAGGGTGGCTAAAAAAAGGTCGTTTTGACATACAAATTGTTATAAAAAATTTTCTTGTTGTTTTTAATCCATGATTTTTTGCGGACAAATAGTTCGAAGCTTCCTCTATCATATATCAAATAATCAGGATTTTCTATAGTCAGTAAAGACAGTTATGCCTCAACATGGTGGCGAAATTTTTAAAAGCTCAATTCTTTGACTTCTTGAGCTTCGTTTTCATGCTGTAATGGATGTGAAGAACAGCAGTTTGGTGTTTGGATACAGAGGAGTTTCCCTATTTAGTGAACAACAAACGAAATTGTGATCTGCCATTTTGAAAATGAAACACTAGAAAACCAAAATTCCTTATATTTGCGCATTATGGGAAAAACGCGACTTTTTACTTCTTTGCGATTTATTTCCAGATAAGTTTCACTCAAACAGATTATATGCTACAATACCCAGTGAAGCTCTTTTCAGACATATCAAACATTGGACAAAAACTTGTCTACAGCATTTGTAAGAGCTGAAAAAGCGACCGAACTTATTTATTAGCCAACCTAATAGATAGGCTAGAGAAAAGCAGAACCGGTGAACCGGAAAACATTTGACATCTGTGAGGAGAGTGGATGTGGTAAACCTGTCAGGTAAAGGCTCAAAACTAAGTTCGCAACTGCACTGATTTCTTTTTTGCGCAATGTCATACGATACTGAATTTTCTGCATCAAAGAGAAATGAACAATGCGAGAAATTTCTTTCTTTCTTCTTTTCTTTCTTCTTTTCTTGAGTTGAGAAAAAATGCTAGCCCAAAAGAATTTAATGCTCAACGACGTGACCTGCCTTCATCTCATCGCTTGAGCTTTATCCTACATATACATGTGATCAGATCAGCTAGATGTTGATACTTCAGTAGGCATCCTTTACGTATACGTTGAGATAAGAGTGGAGGGGTGAGGATGGCGAGGAGGAAAGCAGGCAGAAGCTTTCCTAATAAACATTGAACTGAGATCTGTCTGGAGATACTCTGCCCTCACTCAGAAATTGTAGAAAATCAAATAGTGACACAAAGTAATTTGCAGCTTGCAGCATATTCGAAATGTGGGTCTACTGATTGAAGCTTTATATATATCAGCAGCATTCTTGGCCTTGGGCACTCTTCTGTTTATCTCGTGTTTTATTCAGGTAACAAACCACTGTTCGTAGGGTGTTGTAAGTTTTCACATGATTATAGCATTATCTTTTCTCCACGGCTAGCCAAAATATGGTAAGATGTATCAGAAAAGAATTTGTGAAGGCTGTTCTACGTCAAAACGCTGCTTGGTTTGAAAACAACAATGCTGGAATGATCACAACCTTACTCTCTGAGTGAGTATCCTGGCAGTTTTCAAATTTCTTCATTTTTCAAAGTTTCACCCTTCAGAAATATAACACAAATAGAGGATGGCGTGGGAGACAAGATGGGCATGCTCTCGAGAGGTATAACAACATTCCTCGCTAGTGCAGTCGTTGCTCTCGTTTACAACTGGCGAGTCACCCTCATCACTGTTGGGGTTGGCCCAGTGTCGGCACTCACTATGTTGTTTATGGCTAAGGTAAGCACATATCCGCCATGATGCAGCATTCAAAAATGATGTTTTGCATGAGCCTGAGTTTCCGCTAATTTTGTAGCGAATAGTCAAACTTTTAACAAACATGAAAAATTCTGAACGAGGTTCAGGGCTCTGCGCAGTGATCGCGAGAGATGAGACTGCGGCCATTGCACCACATTATACCACAAGACCTCAAGCCAGTTGAAAGGTCTCGTAGTTTTCAAATTCCTTCCAGGTATAATAATTGAAAGCCATTAACTGATAGCAGTAACTTACGAGGGAAGGATACCAGATCACAATGGCGAAATGATATGAAATGATATGCACATTATTAGATGCGTCTTGATGAGGTGATTCGAAATCTAACTTCATATCTGCTTTTTTTAATCCTTGCATCTGTCCCTATACGGAGTCTGCCGCTCTTGTCAGTCTCTTCCATTCTTCTCTATCTACGACTCGACCATCATCTAATTCAAGTTCTCTGAGGTCTGCTTTGACTCGGTCCATCCATCTTAGCTTTGGTCTTCCTCGTGATCTTTTTCCGGGAACATCCACTGACATTGCTAGTCTTGTAATGTGTTCTTCTTCTCGTCTTCTCACGTGCCCGTACCATCGAAGCCGCCGTTCTTGCATCTTCTTGGCTATCGGGGCAATTTTCATCGTGGTTCGTATAGTATCATTCGTGACGTGGTCGAGCATGGTCACACCTATCGTCAATCGTACCATACGTGTTTCCATCACACCAAGCTTCCTCTCGTCATTACGTGTGCTTGGCCAACACTCGCTTCCATACAACGCGGTTGGACGGATTACTGTGCGATACATTTGTGATTTCAGTTTCAGTGGCATCCGTTTGTCACATAGAATTCGTTAAGCTTCTCCATTTCAACCAAGCTGCGCTTATTCAGCCGTTTATCTCGTCGTGAAGCGAGCCATCTGCTGTGATGAGACTTCCCAAGTACTTGAACGACGTGGTCTTCTTGATTGCTGTATCTGCGATCTGGATCGTTCCTGGCATCTGACGTCCCAGTTCCATGTATTCTGTCTTCGCGGTACTGATCTTCAGACCATGCAGCTCGAGTTGCGTTTTCCACATCTGCACATCATTCTCCAATTCTCTCCTGCTTCTCGCCATCAGGATCACATCATCTGCGTACATGACGGACTATGGAAGTGGGCGTATGAAGTCTCTTATTATCGTGTCCAGGACTGTGATGAAGAGGAGTGGCGACAGTATGGAACCTTGATGCACGCCGGCGTTCATCTGGAAGTCGTCTGAGCGTCCCGCTGCAGTTCGTACGTGGCTGGTGGCTCCTTTGTATATCATTCTGATCCAGCGGACGTATTCTTCTGGTACATCGTGCTTCCGTAGTGCCCACCATATTATGTGATGTGGTACTCTATCGAACGCCTTCTCCAGATCGAGGAATGCCGCATGAAGCTCACACTATCTAAGCTTCTTTCCATCATTATTCTGACGGTGTGGATGGCATCGGTTGTACTGCATCCCTTTACGAAGCCGCATTGGTGAGGGGCCAGTTGTACGATACTTCGAAGCCGCGTCTCCAGTATTCTTTCGAAGATCTTCAAGGTGTGGCACATGGGTCGAATTGGCCTGTACGTGGAGCAGTCGGCTATGCCGCCCTTGTTCTTCCATATTGGTATCGTCGTGCTTCTGTACCACTCGTCTGGCATCTTTCCGAATTCTATTATCTCATTCAGAAGCCGTGTAACGAGACTCCAGCTTGTCCACACCTCTTCCAGAAGTCGCTGGGGTAACTTCATATCTGCTAAGCGCTCTAAAAAAGTTATGAGCGTTCAAATGTTCAAAGTAAGCAAAAATTCAGTGCAACATCTTCAAGAACTACTTGTTTAATGACACTTATGTGTTGGTGTATGTATGCCTTTCAAGCACTCAATGCACTCAAAGTCATGCCAATTAATCATCCCCGCTGGTTTTCAAAGCCGTTACGCATCAAAACCGATAACTTCGCACCTTTAACCGCCCATAGCTTCTTCTAGAAAAGCGCTTAACAAAGAAAGGTGATTTGAAACCAGCTCATCAAGACGCATCTAATGATATGCATATCATTTCGGTTCGTTACTGCGACGTGGTATCGTTCCCTTGTCGGAAGCCACAATGGTCGCAAACCCACCAGCTGTCACGATTACGCAGAACGCTTTACAAAGATTCCCTTGCACTAGGAGCATAGTTGATGTATTAGGTTGTCCGGAAAATAATGTCGCATGGCATCCTGCCGCGACAGAATAACCATACAAAATAGCGAATGGGGTATCATTTGAAAGAGCAAAACAAGCTCTACAAGATAGTTTACAAACGTACGCTGAAATCGTGCTCCACCTGAAGTTCGAATCCAAAATGTAAAAAATTTTAGATATCCGAAAAATCGTATCTCGGTTCATAGACGTCTTATGGATCTCCAATTTGCATAGGCATGTACTCTCTACACTAGACATTCACCTGTGTAGTTTGTTATTTTTCTTTGGCTACAGTACGAGAGATAAAAATAGGTCAAGAGTGCGAATATGTCGCGTTTTTCGGGTTTTTTTGCAAACTATCGGATTTTTCTCGAAAGCTAGCGCTTGTAGCTGAAAATTCATGGCTATACTCCTAAAGGTTCATGCTACAGAATCACCCGCGAAAAAAACATGTTGTGGTTGTCGGGAATCTTATTTACCAGGGACCAGGGACCATTAATGTTTTCACGTATCTATACTATGACCATTGCAAATAAGCCAAGCCCTTAGCAAGCTTTAGTTTCCGAAAGACACGAGATTGAGCGTAAAAGGGAAAGGAAGTGTGCTTCCTATTTTTGGCTTATCTTTTTTCTCTTAATCTAGCCAGAAAGATACTACCACTAGACATATTAGGTCGGTATAGAAGCTCTACTAATTTTTGAAATGATCTGCAAATCCCACACATAAAGATAAACAAACAGTTGGAAAAGAAAAAACTTAGCTAGCAGGTAGAGCTTTTGCCAACGCTAAAAGAATTTTTTTCTGGGACAATCTTTCAGAAATTTGTCAAATGTTTTGAAAAGTAATGATGCCAAAAAAATCCCATGACTTTTTATAACCAAACACTGCAAATTCCTCAGAATGCTGGGGTTTGAACGCTCGTTTATAACTACGACTGATCATGAAGTGAATGAGCAATTTTTTGCTCAGAATTATCAACACTTTGAAAATTAGCGTACGTCAGTGTGCTAGAATTGAAAACAGTTTATCCGCAAATTTCTCGTTCGCCATAAATAAGCAACTATCAGATAGAAGAGGAAGAGTTCCACCAAATGGTATCTGGACTGTTTACCACTATAGTTTTACGATGTTAGAAGGTCGAGTATAATGTTTAATTACTTCAAATTATATAAATAACAATGAAAAGTCACAGGGTTACTGGAAATTGCTTCAGCCGGCAAAAGCTTTGCCCTATCTGTTGGATGTTAGTCTTTCCCTCAAAAGTCCCAGAGAAGAATTCTAGAAACAAGCGAAAGTTGGATATGATGAAAGGGAAGGGTTGTAATTTGCCACATTGCGGACAGGCAGCTGGAATTCTGCATCGGATACAGCTTGGAGTGTTTGTTTAATTGTACAGAATTTGGGGTTATTTCAAATAAGTGACAAAATTCTTGAACCGACCTAATGCATGAGTATCTGTGAAAGCTAGTTTGTTTTCTCGGACGGACGGAGATCTTACTTTTGGGTGTCTGGAGTATTTTTGATCTTGGAGCTTTACGTGTATAAAGCACGGAGTGAATGAATGTTGTGAAGCCAGGCTGTAGAACTTATTTTGGTTTATGATATGTTTTCCTCTCATTTACCCTTCGCTGTCCGTAGCATGAGAAACATGCTTCAATTCTACATCAACCTTACAAAAGATATTCATGAGCAAATCCTGCTATTTCTTGTTACACACATGCATGCACATTTTTCTAGATATCAACGTCGACAATGAATAAAATGTTGGAAATTACTGGTGAGGCAGGAAGTATTGCTGAGGAAGCAATCATGAACGCAAAAACGGTAGCAGCATGCAACGGGCAAAGTCACATGGTCAAGGTACATGAAAGAAGCTAGTTTTGGACATCGCCCCACGATATTTATCACTGAATGTTGAGGACTTTTCAGAAATACGAATCAGAAAGGAAAAGGAATCTACCTCATTCTATCAAATACAATTTTATATCCGGATTTTTTGAAGGGCTTACTTACCTAGAATTATATCTTTTCTATACAGGCGGTTATATGTGAGTCCCGAGAGTATCTCATTTTACATAAATTTTTGTGAAAAGAAAGAGTTTCAGATAAACAACTAAAATTTTATTTCAAGTTTCAAATCCTTCTTCTATTCCAAGCGTACTCCAAAAAGCACTATTCTTAAAATTGTTCCAGATATGGCGTCATCAGCTATTATGATGGAATCACCACTAATCCGGGATCAATTTTTATCGCAACAGGAGCAGTTATGCTGGGCAAGTTTGTATCATTTTTTTTATTTCTATGTTTTGTTTGCTTGTATAGAACAGTTTTCAAGCCACCATTCACACCTTGTTTCGCTTTTCTCAAAACCCAGTGACCAATTTAAACTCTTGGCCCTGATTTTGATTGACAGTCAAGCTCCTACAACTCAAACTGCCTCAGTGAAGAATAAAGAATCGAACGCCCTGAGTTCGTCCCATGCTGAAAAAGTTCTAAAATGTTTAGTAAGTGCTACTATTAGGTAAGTGAAATGCAGATTCGCGCATAATTTTTATTTGTTCATAGCAAAGCATGTTATCAACAAACAAAAAATGTTGTGAATAACATTGAAAAAGGGGTGCCATGATAGAAAACTCGGCACTTACGTATAGAAGTGTCATATTTCATAGTGTCTTACAGGGTACGTACGAGAACAAAATGCGGACGCCCAAATAAATAAAATAACTCTCATTCTGCAAGTACGGCCCTTTCGTGAGAACACGGTAATCTCAAACCAAAGTTCTCGCTTACAACCCAAAAAGAAAAAAGGCCCTTTTTCTACAAGAGGATGTTGTATTTGCGTTTAGCCTGTTCAATCAACCTTTCCTTTTTTGATGAGATGCTAGCAGATCCAATAACAACTGATGTAAACAGCGGCTGTTTGAGTTGCCGAAGGCTCGAACTTTTAATTTTTACGCAAATTTTATCTCCTCTATCTTTAAACTAGCGAATCTTTGAATTTCGAGTTCGTGAGCAAACAAGTGACTGATTTTTCTGATCCGTACCTTTGCTCGCAGCTTTGACCTCAAACTTTCCTTCATTCTTACTCATAGGACAATTTTCAGCAGTTTACAAAAAAAAGCGTCAATTTTTTCATTTTGTTTCCAAAAACCAGACCTTGAGCACGTCTTTAGCTCACTGCATAACCTATGCAGTGCCAAACAGCATACGACATGCAAGAACTAAAATTTATGACAGTTCGAATGTTAATTATCATCCAAGCCAAACAGTCTGCTGACAAGATCCTGCTTTTTCGGTTTCAGCTAGCACGCTGCAGCGACTTCCATTGTTAGCAAGAAAAATGCCTAGCAATTGTAAGCAATTTAAGGCTCGTACTTGTTCGGTTTACTTGGACCACATCTGCTGGCCATCACAAAAGCCAGAGTCGCAGCAGGTGCCATCTACAAGATAATAGACGAAGTGAGTTGCTTAGATTGGTGCAAAGTTACTAAAGTTTGCTCATGTTCGCTTCAAACGTTATCATTTCCTATAAATTGTTGTTTCAAGCATTTATTATGACGGTGTAGGGTGTTAAGAAGTATGTACGCACTGTTTGATCGCTAATGACTCTCTTGCCTTGATGTCTTTCGCCAATTTATTCTGTGTCGCTGCCTTCAACATAAATACAGGGTGTCCGTAAAGTATGTATACACTGTTTGATCGTAAATACCTCTCTTCCCAAGAAGTCTTTTGCCTTGCTTCAGGTACCGTTTTGTAGAGCTGGCTTCAACTTAGATTTGCAGTATAAAACGAATCACCCATCTCTCTTCATTACCTTAGGTCTTACGTTATCCTTACGGTAGAAACTTCGAAGAGGGTTTTGAGCCATGAAAGGCCATATTTTGCCTCAGATAGGAAACAAAATAGCCTGAAAGCTTTTACACTAGGCTAATTAGAGTTGTTAATTCTAACCGTAAAGTTCTCAACTTATTATGATGCTTCATTGAAGAGTTATGCCGGGTAAGAGGCAGCGGCCATTTTTTCAATGTTCCTAAAAAGTGCGGTTACACCGACTCAACGTCTATAAAAACCCTATTACACAAGTTTTCACATTTTTTTTGAAAAATTTTGAGACGGCAGCTTTTTTCCACATTGACACCATATGTTTCAAGTTTCTACCGTAATCCTACAGTAATGAAGAGCGATCGGTGATTCGCTCCATACTGTAAATCTAATTTGAAGCCAGCTCTACAAAACAGTACCTGAAGCAAGGCAAAAGACTTGTTGGGAAGAAAGATATTAACGATCAAACATTCACATTATAGAGCAAGTCGCCAATTGCTCTCCATCACTTTAAGGCCTTAAGCATACCTCGCGCGATTCGGCCAAATCGCGATGTTCACGCATCTTGGCAGTTTGGCAGATCTCCAGACTTGTCGTGCGAGGTTCTTTAATACATAGGCGCTTTGCTTCTTTAATTTGTTGCAAACAGACTAAGTTCTGCCCGAACAAAGCGCTCTTCATAACCATTCACGAGCAGTCATTCCGGTATGGACTCGCGTGGGTCTTGGCCGAAGACAATTGTGGAAACCCTGGGGTGGATTTTGAGTGGATAAGGCGCAGTTTTCTTTAGGGATACCAGACAAGCTAAACTCTATTCAGAATCGTGACTCAAAACAAAGCACTTTACGTGATGAAATTTGTCAAAAATTATGTATAACGTAAGAATTGTTCTCTCCATGCTGCTTAGTCCGGTCGAACTATTTATGAAGCTTTACAAACTAGTACAAAGTGAAGCAATGAATTCAGCGTGCGTGAAAACTCTGTCAAAAATACCCTATCTATTCGTTTTTATTTGGAAGTCGTGAAAGGACAGCTAATATACAATGGCAAAGTATTCTGAAAGTTCTCACCGTAATCCTACCATAATGAAGAGCAATCGGTGATTCTCTTCACACCAAACCTAAGTTATAGCTAGCTTTGCATAATAGCACTTCTTCCGCAGAGGACTTCGGAGCAAGAGAGATATCAACGGCCAAACAGCGCATGTATACTTTTAAACACGTGAAATACATTTCCATCGAGGAACCAAATCGTGAACTGTTAGTATTGTAAACCTCTTATTCCACACGTGACAGCTTCCATTATCAGAAGTTCAAATTCTTTCGGATGATAGAAGAAACATTAGAATTTGTTTTGAACCGCGCTTGCAATCCAATGCAAGAAGTCCCAAAAGTAAGAACACACTTTTTAATCGTCAAATCTCTCTTCCCAATGGGTTTTTTTTGCCAGTCAAGTACTATTTATAGAGGAGGCTTTAACTAAGATTTGCAGTATCGATCGAATCACCGATCGTTATTGGTTACTGCAGAATTATGGTAAGAATTTCCAGCCTGTGGGACCATTATGAAATATACCACTGACAAAATTTTTATCAAAAAATCTGAAAATCGCGTATTAGGGTTTTCGCGCATGCTGATTCCACCACAACTTTTACGAGTGTTTTCAGCTTTTTTGACGGTGTAATTACACTTCTGACAAATACTGAGAATTCGGTTATTACGGTTTACCTGGGATAACTTTGGAAAGAAGCATGATAGTAATTTGAAAATTCCACGTTTGATATCAGCGGCTTCCATTAATATAGTACAAGAGTTTTGGCTTGTTTGGTTTTGTTTGGAGGTAAAATATGGCTTCCAATTGCCTAAAATTCTTGTCGAATTTCCTACAGTAATCCTACAGTAACAAAGGATTCGATGGTTCACTCGATATTAAATTCTAAGTTGCTAAGCTGGAGCCTCCTCTATAGAATGGTACCCAAATGGTGGGGAAAAACATAATGGGAAGAGAGATACTAACGATTAAAAAGTGTGTACTTACTTTTGGGACACCCCGTGCATATATTTAATACGCAACCAAGACAACTTTATTGTTACAATAACCGCCTAATACTAGCATCCTACTTTCCTTCCATTCCCACTTAACGACTTCTATTACCTCTAATAACTCAGCTCGGACCATAGCACCTTCCATTCCCTTTCGGCAGGCGCTATCTATTTCAGCAGTTGCTTTACAGTCAGAGGCGATAGACATAAAGAAGGAGAAGCTTAGAGGATCGACCCTGTGTTGGGAGTTAAAATGAAAGCGCGAGAGCCCCTCTCCTAGCTTCATGCAGCTTTTATACTCGCCAATGCGCGTCGCGCGCGTGCCGCTAGATCAATTTCATTGCGAACGAGAGTTCATAACAGAACTAATCTTGTGATTTGACTACTCAATGCAAAATTCTCATTCCTTAACCCACCAATTTTAAGCCATGCATCCTTATTAACTTTTTTCTGAACATATCAAATTTTTTTTCCAAAAGTAAACAGCTAGAAAATTATTACACTCTGTTATTCAGTCAGTTATCAGTTGTAAGTTTGATTATCCCTTTTAACAGCTTGCTTTAGCTTTAAACATTTAATAAACCTTAGATAAAGCTGAACGTCTGCTTGTCTCTCTGTGTGTGCCTGTCTGTAGCTAACAAGGGAAGGATACTAGATCGCAGTGGCGAACCGAAATGATATGCACATTATTGGATGCGTCTTGATGAGCTGATTCCAAATCTACCTTTCCTATCTGCTACGACCTTCTCTAGAAGAAGGGGCGTTTAAATATGTGGCATTGTTGGGATTCTGATGCCTAATGCGTTTTAAAAACTAGCTTAGGAGTAATCAATTGGCATGCTTTTGGATACACTGACTACAAGAAATGCATACATGCACCGAACACTTGAGTAGGCGTCTTTTAACAAGTAGTTTTTGAACATATGGCACTGAATGTTGCTAAATTGGGCATGCAAACGCCCATAGCTTCTTCTAGAGAAGCTCGTAGCAGAAAGGGAAGGTAGATTTGGAATCAGCTCATCCAAACGCATCTAATGATATGCATATCATTTCGGTTCGTCATTGCGATTCCCTTGTAAGTAGATCTTCTTCTGTTGATCTAAACCAAACTTTGCTCATACACAATTTGGGCGGTGTCGCGGGCTACTTTTCGTTACACGTTTGTGTCGGTTTCATCGATTGCCACACTCGAGTGACGGGAAGCCGGCACAAGGAGAGAAGGAGTGAGCATGCTCATTATAGATCTCTGGGGGGTAAGGTACCTGATATAAAAGTGAGAGAGGAGAGGAAGCATTGGCCCGTAGTGAACACCCAATCTCAGCTGACCTGAGATGACCCATTCAGAAAAACTTCCTCAGTTGAACTTAACACTGCCCCATTTTTCTTTTCAAGATAGTAAGTTGAACAGTCAGAAAACATCCGGTCAAATGCCACGTCAGTATAGCGGAATGCCACTTAGCCAAGAGGGGATTCTAAGGTGAACCGAGGGACATAAAGTGCGGTTCATAATTATACGAACACCCAAAATTTTGTAAGTCTTCGGACTTTTTGGGAGATACTCAAAAAGCCGTTGGTACCACGCGAACAGAACACAGCCGAAAACGGTATATGATCCATATGAATGGAAATTGATGTCAATCTTAGGAGTGTTTTGCGCCTAATGCGAATTTTTAGCGGTTCATAATTATACGAACACCTCAAACAAAGGTCCATTTTTCATTCAAGATTGTAATCATTTGAGTCCAAATTTTCCGTAAAGTTGCAGTAACAAAGTCTGACATATCTGCTACACACTGAACCCAGTGCAGTTCAAAAAGAGGATCGTTACTTTTTTCAGAAGGCTTTAAATGCTTTTGGAGTGATTACGCTTCAAAAGCATCCGTTCTTCTGTGGTTTACGCACTCTGATTAGCTTCTACCAAAGCTATGAGATAAAATAAGCTCTTTCGATAGGTATTTTGTTTAACGCTTGGAAAATCTTTGCGTTTTCATGCCGTTTTTCAACCAAGTTCCAACCTTACCCTAGAGTTAGCACGATTTCAAGCCTCAAAACTCAGCTTCTCTCTTGCGCAAACATTTGATATGAAGCAGCTGCATTGTTTGCATGATGATGTTTCTGTGCCAAAGTTTTTGGGTTTTTTGTAGAACTGATCTTGAAGCTGTGGAGCTACGAACCAAATAAAGGTGTGATTGCAATAGTAAAAAACAGTGTTTTTGGTGAAATGACGTCTGCGTGGCCAAAACAAACGCTCAAAGCTGCCGATTTTTTCTAGCCAAATATACAGTCTTGTGAACTCCTGCATACTATATGCTTACTTCATTGTACGGCTTCAGAAGCTGAGTTTTGAGGCTCGAAATCGTGCTAACTCCAGGGTAAGGTAGGAATTTGGTTGAAAAACGGCACGAAAACGCAAAGATTTTCCAAGCGTTAAACAAAATACTATCGAAGGAGCTTATTTTATCTCATAGCTTTGGTAGAAGCTAATTAGAGCGCGTAAACCACAGAAGAACGGATGCTTTTGGAGCGCAATCACTCCAAAAGCATTTAGAGCCTTCTGAAAAAAGTAACGATCCTCTTTTTGAACTGCACTGGGTTCAGTGTATAGCAGATATGTCAGACTTTGTTACTGCAACTCTACAGAAAATTTGGACTCAAATGATTGCAATCTTGAATGAAAAATGGACCTTTGTTTGAGGTGTTCGTATAAATATGAACCGCTAAAAATTCGCATTAGGCGCAAAAACACTCCTAAGATTGACATCAATTTCCATTCTTATGGATCATATACCGTTTTCGGCTGTGTTCTATCGCGTGGTACCAACGGCTTTTTGAGTTTCTCCCAAAAAGTCCGAAAACTTACAAAATTTTGGGTGTTCGTATAATTATGAACCGCACTTTAGTATGCAAAAGAGGAGAATTAGACATTTTCATTAAAAATTTGTAACTTGTAGCGGGACAATTTGACTACTGTTGCGATACAACCTCCAAAATTGCACAATTTCGGGGACTTAAACAGGAGAGAACAAAACAGGTGATTGCGGCGAGGAAATAGTAACGTTTTTGGTATCTTTCTTGTAGATAATGCCCGTTTTTTCATCAAACCTCTCTAAATGGAGAAAATGTGAATTTATTTTTCCATTCATATTTCAACAATCGTAGTTTTTCTTCGGTATGCATGCGAAAATAGTGTGAAACGCGAATATGAATCTTGTTTCATCTCCGCGTTTGCTGAGCGATATCTCAGATAGCGGCCATCTATGATTTATTGATAGTCGCCGCTATCAGAGTTTGCCTGGCGATGAGCAGAAATGTGCCATTAGCCGGTTTCGAACCACGGTCGTGCACGATGAACACCAATCACCTGTTCGACCAAACCTACTTATGTGGATCTATTTTTGAGAACACACACGATCATCTTTCTAGATAGCGATCCGATCCAGATTAGCTCACTGAATGCCGGACTGAGGCGCTCAACGGAGGCCTGTCTGCAGCCGAGTTGCGCTGAGTAGGGGTTTACTACGAGCCATTGTGTAGAAGTGGGAGGCAGTGGTAAGCTCTATCATGTTGCGATGACAAGAACAGAGCTGAAAACGGGCACTCTAATTTGTAAAGAGGTAAAGATAGATAAGCACGAGCTAGTTAAGCACGCACTTAGACAATGACTGAAGTTCTGTGTTTTATGTTAGATGACTGCTCATAATCAAATGTGTTTTGGAAGTAGCAAGAGATCTCCTATGGACGGTCGTATAAACTTTGTCAAATTGTCCAATATCCCATGAACAATTGCAAAAAAACCAAGATGCAACTACTGCTTTGCACCAGCTCGATAGTTTATTAAATGTTTATTAAATTAGTCTCTTGGTCTATAAGACTGAATCTACTCAATAGACAGCAACTCATTTTCAACAGAGGACACTCTCGGAAGTTTGATTCAGGGCAAGAAGAATGAAGACGATAAAGGAGTTGACATGGAGGAATGCGAGGGATTCATAGAGTTTAAGAACGTACACTTTAAATATCCATCGAGGTGTATACTTAGTGTTTTTGATGAGGAAAAGAGCATTTTGTTCAGAAAATCGGAGATACTTCGTGGAATTAGCTGGCGCGCTGAACCTGGTGAGACTATAGCATTTGTTGGAAGAAGTGGATGTGGAAAGAGTACCTCAGTTGGTCAAAAATGTTTGGCCAGAAATCGAGCTGGGATTTGAATATGGTGCCTTTTTTTCAGATAGCAATCCTCACCAGATTATACGATTGTAGTGACGGCTGCGTGTTTATTGATGGACGCGACATTCTCTCAATTAGACGAAACAGTTTAAGAAAAGTAAGAGTAACGGTTAGTGTGCGTTTGACCAGAGTGATGATTCAAGATGATTGGCATTGTACAACAAGAACCATGTCTCTTTAATGGTACTATTCGAGAGAATATTGAGCTTGGAAGATCTATCGGCGACAAGGATATTGAAGAAGCAGCGCGCATTGCAAATGCCCATGACTTTATAATGAAACTGGAAAAGGTGAGAATACAGATACGAAAGCACAATTTTGATAGTATTTCGCGCGTAACGACAATCCAAAAACATCACGTAGCATTGCCATGATTCTATAGGACATGGGTAAATGGACGACTTAACCTTGGCCAAAAGAAATCGTTTATTCTTGCTGATAAGCGCACTGGAGTACTCGGTGTGCTTATCTACACGTATTTTATGCCAGTTTGCAGAGCTTGAACTTGTCACACGAGATTTTGTGTACCCTAATTTCACGAGTACATGACGCAGCCTTTTCGTTTTCTTAAGCAAGCAGTTCAGCCGTACCAGGTTCCTCGCAATATGTTGGCTTTCCTGCACAATACCACTAGAGGAGTTCTAGCGTATGGAGCAACAGCTAGAAGCTCCAAAATTCTTTGATGTGCTCAGCCCGGTAGATTTTAGAAGAAAAAAATAGGTGCGTCTTTTACTCGTGAAGTTGGTGTACATTGTTGGGTCAAAACTTTTTGCGGGCCATGCGCCGAACGAGCTCTACTTCATTGATGAAGAGGCCACTGAAGCTGCTTGAGCTCATTGCAGTGACTTGCGGGGGCAGTCGGTTACCGAGTAAGCAAGCGCTTTTAGCCGCCCCGATGACTCTGGTACCAATTTACGCCCCGGAGGGTAGAGGGTTCGGTAACCCCATGAGCGAAATCGAACTTTTGTTAGGCCTGATCATATGGCGCCTCACAACATTAACCACTCGTCCTTGCACTTTACTGACGATGTCAATTTTTCGTGGTTTCTTCTGCGTCCAAAAAATCAAAGTATTTGACTATCAAAGATACGTACAGGTTATCTTTTTAACTTGAAGGAATTGCTTTCAAGGGTTACGACACGGTGATTGGTGCAGGAAGCATAGCATTATCTGGTGGGCAAAAACAACGTTTAGCAATCGCAAGAGCCTTAGCAACTAAGCCAAAGATTCTCTTGCTTGATGAAGCCACTAGCGCTTTGGATACAGAGAGCGAAAAAATAGTACAGGCTAGTTTTCTCATATTGTACTTAGCGATGAAGTCAGTTATAAATTTAAAGCTATTTCAGCAAGCATTGAATAGGGCAGCACATGGAAGAACTACAATAGTAATTGCTCATCGTCTCAGCACTTTGAAGGACGTAAAGAGGATCCACGTAATTGATGAAGGAAAAGTTATAGAATATGGTAAACAATTACTCAATATATTAAGGTGTTAACTATATTTTGCAATTGTTACCGTAAGTTTTCGCTTGTTGGTATCGACACACATTTCTCAATATCATGTGGATTAGAGTGTAATCCACAAACAGGCACAATGTTCGTGACAACATAGAAAAAATCAAGCATTCTACAAAAATTTGAAAATTTTAGGACTTGAGGGGTTTAAGCTGCTCTAAAGCCGCCAGCAATAGAGCAGGTACAACGATCCGGAAGTATACACGAATTCTTGTCAGAGGTTAACTCATTTAGCTCAGTAAGGAAAATTTCTAGATAATGTCGCATTGGCGCCTTACGCGTATACTTTCAGTCTCGAACCATCGTCTATTTTAGCGTTTAGAGTGAGACCGGAAACCGTAAATCCACCATAATCTCACAAAAAACCTTACCATGCAAATCCAGTACCGTTTTCGTGATCAGCATGATGGAAAACCTCCCTACGCCAAGTTTCAGCCAAATCTGTAATAATCTATAATATCATTTTTCAAAAATACACCTACAGTACTCCTCAGTGCAAAGTCAGATTTTGGCGTAACAATAAGTGCATCTCATGTGATGGGGTGTAAAAAGAAATTTGACTGCGTTTTATTGAACGCATTAAAGTTATAAAAAATTTGCAAAACTCATTTAACAATCTAATAGAATAGAAATTCAAAGAAAGGTTTGGCACACTAAGAAAATGTAGTCTAGAGGGTGCGGAAATGGCAAGAGTGGGCTTTTTCAGAGCCTTCAATTTTATGAGTGTGAAGAGTTTGGACACACAGACTCGACTCTGTATGGGACCATGAGCAACCGCGTGCGGCAGGACTCTATCTTCTACTATGACAGCGGATGGGAGGCATCCAGGCTGCTTTTGGTGCATAAATCTACGGGGTCTATTATCACGCTGCTGCAAAGTCCAGCACTCCCTAGTTTGTCGGAACGCTGCCTTGGGAACAGACTTTGCACCAGTTTCACACTTTCTGCACATCTTCACCCGCAATTCTTCGCGATCAGTTTTGCGCCTACTAAAATGCGTGCTAAGAATCTACTTAGGCAATCATCGCAAACACCAGCGGACCACCCGCGGGTGACGCCACGCCCGTCCCGAGGGCGCTCATGTATTGATAACCGCCTGGCAATGCCCGCGGGTGGTGTGCGCCTAAACAACACAGCGGGTGGCCCCATAAATGCAAGAGATGCACCCGCGGTAGCTCGAACGCCACAGGTGAAGCGGTGTTACTTTCCCATCACGAGCGTGGAAAAGGCGTAGCTTCAATCACTGGAGAGTACGATCGCAGAATAGGTGCGCAGCCAGGCAAGGCGGCCGCTAAAACGTGAGCCCATCCACCAGCCGCAATCCTGTGGAATCAGAGGGTAGAATGCTAGAGTGGTAGAATCTAGCAGACAGTGTCATTTAAAATATTTCCTTCAAAGAGGACTTGAGAACAATTTGGAAAGTCTCCAAAAAGGGTCGGTAATTCCCTCTGCTACTCTAATTTCAGCAATTTCTTCTGGGGTCCTAATTTCTCGAGACAAGGGGCGTCTCCTCCCTCAAACGCGAGCAGCTCAGTCGCATCTTTGTGCCTCGCAAAAAGATGGCTTTGCAACACGATTTCTCCGAGTAATGCGCATAATAAACCTTTTGACGCTAATCTTTTGACGTGTTTGCAAAATTGGATTTCGAATCTAAGTTGAAACCAGCACAACATAATAATTTTTCAACATAAATTCCCCTTCAGACTCGGAAGATGAGGAAGGTAAAGGAAAGACGGTCGAGAATTAGAACGACCGCCTCGAACAGCGTTAGTAATTAACATGTGAAGACCAAAAAACCCTCTTCTACAACGAACAAGATGAGCACAAAAAACCTTTCTAAACTTACAGCAGAGTTTGACACATTGAGATAAACTGTGCTAAAATCAACAAAGTGTTCAATAGCAGCTTCTCAGACAGTCGAAGGGCAATTGGCGCGAGTCTGCCACTTCGCGCTCTGTAGCGCTCCGGAGCCCTGCCATTTCACCCATTTCGGTGCTCCGGGGCTCTCCCAAATGTGGCGTCGTGACATCACCGTGACGTCACGGTGACGTCACAAGCAGGCGAATATGACCCCTCTCCGGGACGCGCAAATCTCTGCTCCGGAGGTGCGCCAAATTTGGGAGAGCCCCGGAGCACCAAAACGGGTGAAACGGCAGGGCTCCGGAGCGCTCCAGAGGCGAAGTGGCAGATTCGCGCCATTTGTCCGCCGGAGGTAAATCTTCGACTGTCTGAGTCCTTGCATTTGGACCCGATCAGAACGCGCATGCAGTTTTACAATTCCTTGCTTCGACCAATGTATGCAATAAACATCACATCTCAAAATAGTTCGGCAGTGCGCCAAATTTCACGTTTTATGAATAACTAGCTGGCTTACCCGGCTCCGCCGTATCCGGACCAAACTTGGCACACATACACTTCGGGCCCGGCGGGTGTCACAGTCCACTTTTCGTTATCGATCGATGTCGATTTTACCGATTTTTATCGATTTTTTGCAGAGTTCGCCTACAGGGCTAGGAGTTGGCACAGGGGGGGAAGTGAGCATGGGGACTCCGAATACAATATTAGTTTTCAGAATTATCGATTACTTTTATTGATTTTATCGATTTTTTGTAAATTTTGACCTGCGAGGCTGGGATTTTGCACAGGGGGGTAATCGAGCATGCTGATTACGAACACAATATTAGTTTTCAGGATCGTCCATTACTTTTATCGATTTTATCGATTTTTTTGTAAAGTTTGACCGCGGGGCTGGGAGTTTGCACAGGGGGTAATCGAGCATGCAGATTACGAATACAATATTAGTTTTCAAGATCGTCCATTACTTTTATCGATTTTATCGATTTTTTGAAAATTTGAGCTAGGGGACTGGAATTTGGCACAGGGGTGTAATCGAGCATGCTGATCACCCCCCTTGGGGATGATCAGCATGCTCGATTACCCCCCTGTGCCAACTCCCAGCCCCCTAGCTCAAACTTTACAAAAAAATCGATAAAATCGATAAAAGTAATCGATAATCCCGAAAACCAATATTGTATTCGGAATCCCCATGCTCGATTACCCCCCTGTGCGAACTCCCAGCCCCGTGGCTCAAACTTTGCAAAAAATCGATAAAATCGATAAAAGTAATCGATAATCCTGAAAACCAGTATTGTATTCGGAATCCCCATGCACGATTACCCCCCTGTGCCAACTCCCAGCCCCGTAGCTCAAACTTTGCAAAAAATCGATAAAATCGATAAAAGTAATCGATAATCCTGAAAACCAATATTGTATTCGGAATCCCCATGCTCGATTACCCCCCTGTGCCAACTCCCAGCCCCGTAGGTGAACTCAGCAAAAAAATCGATAAAAATCGATAAAATCGATATCGATCGATGACGAAAAGTAGCCTATGACACCCGCCGGGGCCCAAGTGTATGTGTGCCAAGTTTGGTCCGGATCGGTTCAGAAATGGAATTTTCTATTCGGAACATACGTACATACATACATACAGACAGACAGACAGACAGACAGACAGACAAACAGACATTCAGCTTTATATATAAGATTGAAAATCTACAAAATGAAAAACACAAGTAGGGAATTAGACCGATGTGAATTAATGCAAGTTCTGGTGAAGCTTCTAAATTTTAGGAACTCATTTTGAGTTGTTAGAAAGGAATGGCCTCTACAGCAAGCTTGCAAGAGCTCAAGAAGTACAAAATGACGCGACCAGACGAAGAAAGTTTAGTGACATCGGTGGAAAGCTGGGACGGTATTTTTTTGAAAATTACATAGTCATGTCAGTCAGTACTTTTTTTTTAAACCATTTAGAGATTCTTCTCTTACACGACGAGAGAGAAGAGCAATCAGGCTCTCACGTCTTTCTTTCGACTCGCTCTCTGTACCTCAGACAATAATTAAACCAGAAAAGGAAGAGGAGGTAGGGATGCGAATATGAGTAAGTACTAGGTGTCAAAAGTAGTGAAAACTTTTCCCTCTCCAACTCAACCTTGAAGCAAACAGGGTATAGAGTAATGACAAGCTTTGCACTGTGCCAACGCCCCTTTCTTTCTCTTTTCAGCAGTCATATCTACAGAATACTCGCCTCGTAATTTTCAAAAAGACTCAAGATTTTTCCTTGTGTAACTCCACCTAACATTCCAGAGTTTTGAGAAAAGTTTTATCGCTCAAGAACAATGCAAATCGTCGACTTTCAGCCCTGACACTGCCCTCATTTGCGAGTTTTTATCTAAGTTTTCAAAAATTACGCTTTCGGGGTTTTGCAAAATATTCCTTCCGGAAGTTTTTGATGTATGAGAAAACACGTACAATGAAAATGCATTTCTGGGTAGGTTTCCAAACTCTAAAAACTTGCATAAGGTCGTTCCAAAAGTAATGTCGCTTTTTTCGAACGCATAGGGCTCTGCAGGATCGCGAGAGTCGATGAGTTTGCGGCCATTGTGCACACAGGATGCTTCAGGGCCTCAAACACTCAAACAATCCTGTGCTTTTCGGGTTTTTTCCTTTTGGACGTTTTGCTACCAAATGTAAGCTTCCAATTATTTGAGGCGACTCCGAAAAGCACAGGATTGTTTGAGTGTTTGAGGTCTTGAAGCATCCTGCGTGCGCAATGGCCGCAAACTCACCGACCTTGCGATCCTGCAGGCTCCTATACCGAAAGTGATGTCGCTTTGTTCAAACGTACGCCACATCTCGTGGAACAAAGATGTATAAGAGATTTTGCTAACATTTGATGCAGCACTTCATTCGCTTTCTAGTGGTTGTATGGTCACTGCACAAAATTTAATAACCTCTCGAAAAATTTTCAAAATCTGCGACCCATGCTTTTTGAGATGGCCAAGTGTGATTTTTCCGAGTCTTTATAACAACACTCGGAAGGAATCCAAACAGTAGATGGATAGAGCAAACTCTACAGGAAACAGCACAACTTTTTCCTACTTTTTACAGTTCGTCATAATTTTCGTATCGATTTTTTGATGGAACTACCGAATTTTAGCAGGCTCGTCACAGACACAAATGCATCAAACACCAATAAATCTTCGGATTTTGAAACTTACAAAGATGGATTATGGTTTACACTAATTTTACAAACCAAATGAGCATTAACCACTTCACATTAGCAACTTTCGAAAATTGCGGGCTTGCCGGTTATTGTTCTGTGAGGTTTGAGTTGACCAAATATGGAATTTGACAGCACTGAAAGATTGATTCTACAAACTCTAAGAAGCAAACCAAGAAAAAGAAAAAAATTGTTTCATATCCTATATGGTTTGCTCTATTTATCTGTTATTTGCACACCTTTGGGGAATCAGTACAAAAACATGGAAAAATATAAAAAAATAATATATAAAAAAAGCGGAACTTGACCATGACAAAAAGCATGAGTCGCAGTTCTTGGTAATTTTTCTAGAGCTCATCAAATTTTATTCAAAGAAATTACAACCATCAGAAAGAGGACGACGACGAAATGTGGCGTTCATCTGGAAAAGCGACATTACTTCCGAAACGAACTAATATTTTTTCTATCCGGATGTGGTTTTGCATGATACCTTGAATAAATTTTCGGCGAAATTTTCACTGGTTTTGCTGGACTCAGTTTTTGAATGCGTATTATTAGCTTAAAATCGCATTTTATTTCACGCCCACATCTGTCTAAACAATGTAGCCTTTGGCCATCTCATCGCTGGCAACTCGAAATTTTTTGAAGTGGCAACTTATCAGTCTTGATATTTTGAGGAAAATGATAGCAAAGGAGGCTTGCTGAGAGTATATGCATCAAGTCTTCGGTCGCTACCTGTATTTTGGATCTCGCTGATTACCGGAATTCTAAGAGGAATGGAAATGCCGCTTAGTTCGTACTTTTACGGTTTTGCTTACACAGCCTTGGATAAATCGAAGGTAAGGAGGCCGTTCTTTTGGATTGATTGTAAAACTCGATTGTATATCTAGGATGCATATGGTACAGATATGTGGATTGCCGCCTCTGTATTCATTGCCCTTGGAGTGTATTCTTTGATTTTTCTAAGCGCCTCTGTAAGAAAACTCCTAATACCGTGTTACAAAAAGAACTTGCACCATTTAAGGTAGCTTTTGGAGGATGGACAGGAGAAGTGGTTACAACAGATATGTGCGTTGCGGTAATAAGAAGCCTTTTGAGTCAAGATGCAGATTTTTTCGATGTACCAGAAAGGAGCAACGCTGCTTGTGTCGCTGAACTTACATCTAAAGCTGTAGATGTTCAAGCCGTAAGCGAAAGAACTCACTAATGAAATAATCAAAAAATTAGTCGTGCGAATTTACCTAGATCCGCCCGCGAGCCCAACAAAGGCTGCATAGATGAAATACTTTCCGAGAAGGAGGTGCACAGCTTGAAGTAAAGCTTCGAGCTGGGAGCTCAAGGATATTGAAACTTATGCCGCCTATCCATTTTAAAGTGTTTATACTGGAATGGAATATAAGTCTCATACCAAAAGATGTTTGAGGCGCAATGTGTCATATTTTTGGTACAAGGTCCCGATGAAATTCGATAGAGCAAAGCAGGTTTAACGGATGATTTTCGAAGATTTGTACCAATTTTCCACACGAAATTTGAGGACGAAAACTAAAAATATCCAAAGCACCAAAAAACGAGAAAGATCGGAACTCATTGTCAATTAAAAATTCTACGAAAATTCTATCATGCACAAGCCCCACATGTGATGGAACAAAGATTTCTGAAAGATCTTGGTAGCGATCGATGTAGCATTTCATCCTCTTTCTAATTTTCGTACAGGGCTTGTCAATTGCTTTGTCGGGTGCACCAGCATCTCCACTGCCGCGCTACCGTTTCGACTGGACTCTGCACCTCTTTCGCGATATGCTCAGTGATCGCTTTCCCACCACGAGTGTGGGCATACCTTCGATAGTCAAGAGGCCTAGAAAGTGATAGTTGTTTGAGTTCTTGCCCCCTATAAAAAGTGAAGGTTGTTTTAGAAAAAATAGATGGAAATTTAGAGATCTGAATTGAACCAGAAAACTTGAAAAATTCATATAAAGCAGAAGCTAACACATCACCTAATTTGAAACCTTATCTTGGTGGTTTCCTACGCACATTTTTGTCTTCAGAATTGCCGGTTAAATTGGGTGGCAACAGGAACAAAGTTCTTTTCTAATTGAAAAAAAGCGTTAGCTGTGGCTGTAGTTGGGAGACCGAAAGAAGGCAAACTTGTCAACAACTAAACTGAACATGTTAAACATGTCTGAAAAGTTATGCTGCACATCGACGCCAATCTGATTTTTGACGCGTCCTTTAAATTTTCACCCCCGCTTGGTCGTTTCGTAACCTGCGACGTTATCTGGATTCTTCCGCTCATCGTTCTGAGCAAGTAACGTCCAAGCTGGAGAAAATTCGTTGCAAAAGCATTGAAAAAGAACAAGGTAAAAAACGCACTTTTTGGTAATTTTCACAAAAAAACCGGCATAAGCAAAGAAGTAAGCTCGGCGACGTTGTCTACATTATAGACAGAAACAAGACTTATCGAATACACAAAAAAACCGAGTGAAAAGAGTTGAACTGAAGAAAAAACAAGAGGTTTTCGAAAACTCCGTTTTTCCTATATTTCTCGTTTAAATCATAAAAAGGAGTCTTGCGACGTTGTCAGCGTGAAAATAGAGATCAAGAGCTTTAATATGATATATAGATTGTCGAAATTGGGCTCCCAAAAACGAAGAAAAGGGTACCAGAGCCAAATGCCCCGCGCCCCGCTTATGGGGTAGCGAGGTAGCGCGCAAGTCGCGGAGACGCAGACGAGCAGCGGAGACAGACCAGAGCCGGCGGGGCATTTGGCTCTGGTCATTGATCTCCGCGGGATCATAACGAAACCCTGTAACATTATATATCGCTGTGATCCTCATGAGACGTCCAGGAGCACTGACAACGTCGCGGTCTTGAAAATCACTCCATAACGAGATAGACCAGCATTTAAGTAGCGACTCTCTGCGCAAGATTTGAGCGCAGTTTCTCGTTTCTATTGAACTCCAGCGGCTTTCATGAACTTCCAACGCTCAATCGAAGTCTAGAGAAAGATTAATTGAGAAATTTTGTTCCAGTTCCTCATTGAATTTTTAATAAAAGTCTTTTTGGTAAAAGGGCCATAAAAACGTAATCCTTCGGTTTTTTGAGCTTCTTTCGGATGTCACTACTATATTTACCTCGTTCACATCTCTCCCTCTATGGATATGTCATTAGTTATGCCATGATATCCGGGGCTTCGCCCCGGATGACTTCCCTCTAGGTGAAGGTTGTGTTCTATCATGACGCTCAAAGTGAAGGTCACCAGAGTACGTGGCTCTATGTATCGAAGGTATGAGTGTGGGATAGGCGGAGTTTCAATCGATTGGAGATGATTAGGGAGCATGCTCGTGGAAGAGGTGCAGAGTCCCGCGCGAGAGTGGAGATGCTTGTGACACCCGACACTGCAATTGATAAGCCCTGTTGTTCATTGCAGCACAATAAATGAGCTCCTAGAAAATTCAATCTGCGACCTACGCTTTTTGCGATGCTCAAGTTTCATAGTTTTCTAAACTTTTATATCACTCTTCCAAAAGAGTCCAAGTAAAGATGAATAAATCAAAACCTACATTTGAAACAATTTTCTTTCCTTTCCAATTTTCTCTTCTTACCAGAATTGATGCTACCAATCCATACTTGGTCAACTCAAACCTCCGTAGAACATCGAATGTCGAGCAGTTCAGGCGTCTATGTTCAGCTTCTTCTCGTCTTTTCCGATGGGTGTTTTTTGTTTCCGCTTCGTGGAGTCTTCGGAGGTAAAATCATCGTAATGCGTGTTTTCGAACGCGCTCCAGCGCGGAAACGAAATTAGATATGTTGATTTTGTCAACGTTTCAGAAGTTATGGCGAGAACTGGAAAGGAACAAAAAGCTCTGCTATTACCCTTAGAGTTTGCTCTATCCACGCATTAATTGGACTCCTTCGAAGTGTTGATATAAATTAGGAAAATTGTGAAAATTGAACAGTTCAAAAAGCGTGAGTCGCAGATTTTGGTAAGATTTTTTCAGAGCTCATTTATTGTGCTGCAATGAGTTTATGACGATTGGAAAGAGGATGCTATGCTGCATCGGATGCTTTCAAAATCTCAAAATCTTTACTTCGTCAAATGTGGCGCACCTTTGAAAAAAGCGAAATTACTTTCGGAATGACCTAATACATCAGATATGCGTATGAACAGTTGCCATATTTTTCCTTTAGTGCAAAGGTGAATTTTTAGCATCACAGCAGCTGGTTTCCAAGAAGCAAAATTGGCATGAAAACCCGATTAACAGGAGCTAATTGACATATTGACATATTTCTCGTGTACTAGTAGTTCTATAACGGAAGGAAAGTACGCTTGTAGTTGTTAAGGTCGCTTGTATATGTGCGGGCGCAGCGGCATCGCTTTAGAAAGAGCATTCTACTGCTGCTAACTGTATGTATGAGTGGTGCGAAAATATACTTCGCTGAGTTTTTTTGGGGCAGTATCTTTTTGGTTTTGGCTTCAAACTTCGCGACATAAGAAAATAGTGCAGGTCTTCAAAAATTATCTTGTAGAGCTTGCTGTGCTCCTCAAATTCCCCGGAATCTATTGGAATATAGGACAACCAGTGCATCACCTCCGCTTCGCAGAGGTTCGCACTGGCTCCCTATCCGTATGCCTTTCTCATGTTGCAGAATGGCTTTGAAACTTACCACGCAATGCTGAGCATCACAAATGAATCGTAAACAGCTGTTCATTCTTGAAGCATCTCCATGTAAGATCGGTAACTTTGAGAAAAACAGCTTTGTTGCAAGGAAACAAATGCGAATTTGAATGGATCACAGAATTTGTTTTAGTTTGATAATCGTCATAAGGATAAAAGTCACTTTGGCTACATTTCAGTGCAGAAATCTTTTCAGTTTATTTAAATAAAACCTTGCCAAATCATCTATCTACGCGTTCATCACTTTTTGGCGCTGTTTTCGCAAAAAAAACAAACCTTTTGAGCACTTTTTGGCGCTGTTTTCGCAAAAAACAAACTTTTTGAGCACTTTTTGGGCTAGAATTCATGGCGCGCAGAGCTACTTGTCAGGCAACATAACTTTGCAAAAAGTCAAATTAGCGACCCAAGAGGCGCGCCAAGAGGCGCGTGGCACCGTTTGACGCGCAAATTTTGAGGGGCCCGCTTACCGAACCGGCTCGTCCTTGTGCTTGGTGGGCCTACACGCTGGCACGTATTTTATGCAAAATTGTAGCCCGATAGCTTAGTTGCAGCTTTCCTCTATGAATTTCGTGACTCACAGATTTTCACACAGACACAACACAAAAGAACAGACGGCCTTAGCCCGTTATTATAGTAAAACTAGCTGGCTTACCCGGCTCCGCCGTATCCGGACCAAACTTGGCACACATACACTTCGGGCCCCGGCGGGTGTCACAGTCCACTTTTCGTTATCGATCGATGTCGATTTTACCGATTTTTATCCATTTTTTTGCAGAGTTCACCTACAGGGCTAGGAGTTGGCACAGGGGGGAAGTGAGCATGGGGATTCCGAATACAATATTAGTTTTCAGAATTATCGATTACTTTTATTGATTTTATCGATTTTTTGTAAATTTTGACATGCGAGGCTGGGATTTTGCACAGGGGGGTAATCGAGCATGCTGATTACGAACACAATATTAGTTTTCAGGATCGTCCATTACTTTTATCGATTTTATCGATTTTTTTTGTAAAGTTTGACCTGCGGGGCTGGGAGTTTGCACAGGGGGTAATCGAGCATGCAGATTACGAATACAATATTAGTTTTCAAGATCGTCCATTACTTTTATCGATTTTATCGATTTTTTGAAAATTTGAGCTAGGGGGCTGGAATTTGGCACAGGGGTGTAATCGAGCATGCTGATCACCCCCCTTGGGGATGATCAGCATGCTCGATTACCCCCCTGTGCCAACTCCCAGCCCCCTAGCTCAAACTTTGCAAAAAAATCGATAAAATCGACAAAAGTAATCGACAATCCCGAAAACCAATATTGTATTCGGAATCCCCATGCTCGATTACCCCCCTGTGCGAACTCCCAGCCCCGTAGCTCAAACTTTGCAAAAAAATCGATAAAATCGATAAAAGTAATCGATAATCCTGAAAACCAATATTGTGTTCGGAATCCCCATGCTCGATTACCCCCCTGTGCCAACTCCCAGCCCCGTAGCTCAAACTTTGCAAAAAAATCGATAAAATCGATAAAAGTAATCGATAATCCTGAAAACCAATATTGTGTTCGGAATCCCCATGCTCGATTATCCCCCTGTGCCAACTCCCAGCCCCGTAGGTGAACTCAGCAAAAAAATCGATAAAAATCGATAAAATTCGATCGATGACGAAAAGTAGCCTATGACACCCGCCGGGGCCCGTAGTGTATGTGTGCCAAGTTTGGTCCGGATCGGTTCAGAAATGGAATTTTCTATTCGGAACATACGTACATACATACATACATACATACAGACATACATACAGACAGACATACAAACAGACATTCAGCTTTATATACAGGGTGTCCCAAAAAAATGTGCCTACTGTTTGATTGTGAATAACTCTCTTGTAATGAAGTGTTTCGAAATGCTTTAGGTACCTTTTTGTAGAGCGAGGTTGAACTTAGATTTACAGTATGAAGCGAATCATCGACCGCTCTTCATCACCGTAGGATTACGGTAAGAATTTTTAGCATATGGAGCCAATAGGAAATATACCATCTAACAAAATTTTTTTCAAAAAATCCGAAAAATCGTGTACTAGGGTTCTCGAACATGCTGATTCCACTACACAACTTTTTACGAGCGTTTTCAGCTTTTTTGACGGTGTAATTACATTTCGGACAAATGCTGGGAATTGAATTATTACGATTTACCGGGGATAACTTAGGAAAGAAGCCTTACAGTAAAATGCGAATTTCAAATTCGAAATCAGCGGCTCCCATTATCGTAGTGTAAGAGTTTTTGGCTTGTTTGGTTTCGTTCCGAGGCGAGTATAGCCTCCAAAGGCCTAAAATCCTTGTCGAAGTTCCTACAGTAATCCTACAGTAACGAAGAGTGATAGATGATTCGCTACATATGTATACCTAAGTTTAACCTCGCTCTACAGAATGGTACCTAAAGCTTCCCGAAACACTTCATTACAAGAAAGTTATTAACAATCAAACAGTAGGCACATTTTTTTGGGACACCCTGTATAAGATAACTTCGCGGTTCCGACCTGTTTTGGTGCAAGACTTAAGTTTCGACCTTACTATTAGACCATCCAAAAGTTCTTACGTATTTCCGGCAATAAAACAGGTGTAATAAAGATCCGACAACTTAATATCATTTGACGCAGCTTTTCCTCTTTTTCTTGCAACTTCATTGGTTGCTCTTGTGGTTAGTCGAATGACCGCCGAAATTTCGATCCATTGATTTTTACCATTTTCAACTTCACCATTTTGACCTTTGGGAGAAGGGGGGAGGGAGGCTTTGGTCGGATGGGAAATGATCGACCATACACTCCAAATTATGGTTCTTAACAACACTGATAGCTCTTCTTCAAAACTTTTGTTTCAGGCTTTAAAAGAGCCTTGTTATCAGTTAGATAGAGTAAAGTTTTTGGCATCTATGGCTGGCATAATTTTAGAATTTTTTTTGGTTGCATCAAAATCTGGTCATCTCACACCTCTCAAAACATCAAATGGCGAGCAACTTGAGCGTTATTCGACGCAGCATTTTCTCCTCTTTCTAACAAGTGTTTTTGTTTCCGATTCGTGGAGTCTTCGAGAATGCAACCATCATATTTCGTAATTTTAAGCGTTCAAGACACATATGGATTACTGAAGTTTTGCGTTCGAATAATTGAACGTTCTCTTGCTTTGTAAAATTATAATTGACTCATAGTCCACTTTTGCAAACTTAACGAACTGCGGCGTTACAACAACCACGCAAGACGAGCGCAGAACAGATTACCAATGCTTCTTTTATGTTGTTAGTCTTTTACCTTCTTCAGCATAAGTCTTTTTGTCCCCTAAAGTCTCCTAAAGCTCTAATTTTACAATTTCAACAGAACTTTATAAGTGAGCAAAACTGATATGGGAATAGTCCGTAAACCTCACAAAAGATGAGGAGAAACTGTGTGCTGCGACTCATGCTGGCGGAGTACTCCCCGTGCGGTCGCTCGCAGCCTGTCGGGCGCGACGTTTTCTATTTGGCACCCAAAGTAACGAAACTCACCCAACATTTCCCCATCTTCATTTTACGAGTTTATACTGTAAGTCCAAAAACGACACAAACTTTCGGTCTGACTAGGGAAGGATACTTGGTCGAAGTGGCGTTTTTATATGAGATGTACACTATCTATTCAGTATCTGCAAGGCGCTTTTAGGGGAATACTGAATTTTTTGAATTTAGAATTCAATGATTTGGCTAAGATAGAAGTAGGTGTTGAGGTCTTTCCGACGCTTAAAATGAGTAGAGTAACGACTAACAAGAGTTTATTAGATCGAAAGTCTTTATACCATGAAACATCTTGGTAGTAATCATGGTCTCATTTGTGCTCACGAACCAGGGTTCTGAATGATTTTATTGTAGCGGCGGTTTAAATTTTTGCATAAAAAAATTTCCATAACTCCCCTCCCAGAAGCGGTTTGCAGATATGAAAAGCAGATTTGAACTCAGCATTCCATGCTCCATAAAACATTATCTATTTCGTATGGAAACGCCACTTCGACTAAGTATCCATCCCTTGTGAGTTAACATATTTTTAGTGAGGCATGGTGAAAACATTGATGGATGTATAGGTAGCATTAAATCAAGATTTCCGGAGCTTTAAAATGCCTTTGTTAATTGTCCTTCCTCCCCAGTAATGAATGCATGCATGCAGATCAAAGAACAAGCAGATAGTGACGTGAACGCCGAAGATCTGCAATGTACGGCTTCTCTAATCTAGTTTATTTGCTTTGACATCTGTGTGACATGGGTACTTTACGTCATCTGGACCCATTCTTTAAATGGGTCCTTGTAATGCACGCGACAAACGTAGAACAATTTTTTCGTACATTCCAGAGATGACATGTTGATTTTTTGGCAAGTGGCAAATGACAGTTCTTCATGGAAAGTTGGGACTAAATATGATACAAGGAACAAAGCGATGTCCTCTTTCGAAAAAATGGGTCGAAGAGCGCAAACAGTAGTCGCATAAGTCAATGATAAGCGCAATATTGACTTGAAATCTTAATGTTACCCTAATTGCTCACAACTCTCTTTCATAACAATAAGTTTGACTAGCTCTGCTCTACGACTTCAAGCTTCAATCGTTTGGTGCTTGAGATGTAGACTACCCTTGTTGTGCTCATGTTCTTTTGTGCATCACATCAGTGTATGTGGATTGATGATAAAGGTGGATTCAGCAATGTATTTTCAAAAGTGTTATTTGCTTTGGCTAAGATTAAGAGCATTCTTTATAGTGTCTGGATTATCGCTTTATGCTCATGTTGAACAATCTCGTTGCACTCATAGCCTCTGTGATACTCACTTTTGTGGCTTGTTGGCCCAGTGGGATTGCAAATCTTGTAATGATTGTGGTATTCACTATCGCATTGTGGGTTGCCGCCAATATTGTGTCAACAAATATAGCAAGGAAATCGGAATTAGACAAGAGCATAGAGGTGAGCTCCGTACCGAAGGTTATTCCAACAAACAAATTTATTTCAGCTTTCTATTGAAGTTTTTGAACATGCGCAAACGATCCAGTTACTGTGTGCAGAAGATTATTTTGTAAGGAAATTTGAAAACTGTCAAAACGCCGTGAAAAAGCAAGAAAAGCGGGTATTTTTGCTACACGCTCCCTTTCCCTTACTTCAAGAACTGTTCAGACAGCCACATTCAAAGCGCTACAATTTGCCCTTACTCAAAGCTTTGTGTACTTCTTATGCGTGACTACCTATGGATTCGCTGCATTTATGATATATTTAGGACATATTAAAGCTGTGAATGCCGTGGTGTATGTGAAGTTTGGATTTAGAGATGATAAGTGAAGCGAGGTAGTCTAGGGCTACGGCGAGTGCAACTTCGGCAGGCTGGGCTGTTATAATGGCATCTGAAGCATTTGGAGATTTTGCGCGATCGCATGTTGCGGCAAAAGCTCTATACTCACTTGGCGATTGCTACAAGATGGATGATGAAGATTCAAAGCAGGCATGTGTTATCACTTATTTATTTATTTATTTATTTATTTTACTTGTTTATTCATCCTATCAGCAACAATCAATTGAATAAGTCTGCACAGAAATACAGGGTGTCCCAAAAAATGTTAACACTTTTGGTCGTTAATAACTTCCTTGCTTTCAGGTCTTTCGCCAAGCTTGAGACACCATTCTGTAGAGCGAGGTTCAACTTATAGATTTATAGTATGGAGCGAATCACCGCTCGCTCTTCGTTACTGTAGGATTACGAAGAAATTTAACAGGGATTTTAGGCCATTTTCTGTCTAGAAACAGAGCCAAACAAGCCAAGATTTCTTGTACTATGGTAATGGGCCGCTGATTTCGAATATGAAATTCCTGTTCTACTATGATGCTTCTTTTCAAAGTTGCCCTAGGTAAACTGTACTCACTTCCCAGCATGTGTCAAAAATGTGGTTACACCGTCAAAAAAGCTGAAAACACTCGTAGAAAGTTCTGTAGTGGAATCAGAGCGCGAAAACCCTAGTACACCATTTTTCGGATTTTTTTGAAAAAGTTTTTTATCAGAAGGTATATTTCACAACGTTCCATATGCTGGAATTTCTTACCGGAATCTTACAGAAACGAAGAGCGAACGGTGATTCGCTTTACACTATAAATCTAAGAACCCACTCTACAGAATGGTGCCTCAAGCTCGACGAAAGACATGAAAGCAAAGGAGTTATTAACTACCAAATAGTGTTAACATTTTTTGGGACACCCTGCATTAAGAGGAAGTGTACGGTTGGTGATCAGTGTGTGTGCGGTGTGTGGACTGTGATTGATTGACTGCAAGCGGGACTTACGCACAGCGAGTACACCTCAAACTTGGGTAATTAAAGTAATTAAACCTTTATTGTAATACTATCAATACTACATAAGCGACTACGAATTGCGGATAATAATGAATAATATACTAATATAATGCCAATAATGCGACTACATAGGGTTAGACAAAAGTTAACATTTTATCAGTGCTGTGTTGCTGTGATTATTCTGTGACCCTTTGATATTCTGTGACCTTGTGATTGTTCTGTGCGTCAGTAGAAAAGCGAGCTATAGAACTCAGGCAACTACAGGGTGTTTGAAAAGTTCGTTCCCAAAGTACTTCCCATTCGAATTTTGACGCGCTTTTTGTTTTATTGTGCTCATGACAGACCTAAATACCATAATTTCAGTGAAATCAAGTTTCTTTGCGGTTTCTTTAAAATTTTATTAGATTGAAACACATCAGTATAGCTTTCCAAACCTCTTTCTTTGGAACTCTTGTTACAAAAAAGGAAGCATAATCACAAAAAACTTGGTATACCTACTGAAAGCTTTTTCTTTAAGGTTTCTTAAGTGTGCTTTTACTTTCGCAGAAGTAAGTTCGTTTTGAAATATCGTGCCTTTGAAAGGCAAGAGATCCACTTTCAGGATTTTTTCGTCAAAAAGTCCAGCACCGAAATTTTTATACTTTATCTTCATAACCTTTGCAAGCATGCAAAATTTTTGAAAACAAGTATAACGAAGGTCAGAGACTTGCGCTACAAGTATATATTGAAACAAAACTTCCAAAATTTTTTCAAACTGAAAAAATTTCAACGCAAACGGGTGCCGCAACTGCCTGCTGTGATTCAGCGCATAGAAAAATCTTCGTTAGCAAGCTACTGAAAAACTTTTGTTATATAAAAAAAGTGTAAATCTAGGACTGTTTGTAGCAAAAAATCAAAAGCTGTTTTCCTTTTCCGGCGTTGAAAAAAAAGAACAAATCAGATAACGCACTCTCCAAGGAAGCTGAAAAAATTGTTTACTTCCAAATTTTTTGGGGTATCTTGAGGCAAAAAATATTTCTCTTTGTTGATTCAGTGGTTTCTAGATTTGGCGAACACAAATAGCAAAAATTGAGTCAACGTTCGCAGTTAAAGTGCTTAAGGACACGAACTTTTCAAACACCCTGTAAATGGCTAACATGATGCCCAGCTTATATATAGTCGTCCTCACCCCACTAGTCGGTCGGTGGTCGAGTTTGAATTCGAACTGGAGCAGGCCGTCCGCGGCAGAGCGCGGCAGACCGCTCTCAGCCAACCGCTTGCACGAGCTTTTTTCTTATTAACTTCGTGTTTCTTTGATATCCCTCATATCGCAGCAATGTTTCTAATCAGATTTCCAGATTTCGTACCAATAACTCTTTGAAACAAACACATTTTGAGAGAATTTCAGCCCTAAAATAGTTTAGAGTATACATTTTAACGAAATACTGTGACACAGTTCATCAAATCACATTTGTGTATATGTCACTTACCGCGAAAGAGATTTCTCACCCAAAAATCTCCAATCGCATCTCTTCCCGGGTTACCTGGAAAAAATGTAAAACAAATGAGCACAACTGCACAAAACAATAGTTAGCGGTACCAGATTTTAGAATCTGATTAAGAACATTGCCGCAATACGAGAGATAGCAATGAAACACGAAGAAAATAAGAAAAAAGCTATGTGCAAATGGTTGGTTGAGGGGTGATCTGCCGCGCTCTGCCGCGGCCGCCCTGCTCCAGTTCGAATTCAAATTCGACCACCGACCGACTAGTGGGGTGAGGACGACTATATACGATGAGACATAAACAAACGCCTAGGAATCTACTGATAAGCTAACTGATAACAAATGTATAAACACAAGCCGTGGGAAACGCAGCTGATCGGCCGCGCTAGGCACTGTTCTTTGAGCGCGGCAAAAGCATACGAATGCGAATAATTCGTATACTCCGGTCTCAGCTTCGAAAAGAGCGACCAGTGATGGTGATGGTCGTTCGTCGCTCCTTGTTCGCTGTTTTTGCAGTAGAAGCAGCAACTCCGTCTGATGCATCCGTAGATATGTCGTTCAAGGCAACGATGACATCTGTGTTCGTTATCCAGTAGAGCCACTCGGTCCCTGATGGCCGTCACCCGAGGACAGCCGTCTGAGTAGTGACTTCCATACTGCTTGCAGAACACGCACATCGGGAGCCCACTTCCGTTGCCCTTGTCGCCTCGTCTTTCGGGGCACGACAACAACTGTATCTGATGCTGAAGTCTTTCCCGTTCCTGTGTGTACTCTTCGATGAGCTCGTCGAGTTTCTGCGTATCCGCGCGAGTTGTCGCTTCCGGGATTGGTCGTTTTCTTTTTGGAACCTCTCTTTGTTCTGGTGCCTCTTCCTGTTCATCCGTGTCATCCTCGCGAGCTTTGTTCTTGGAAGCGCGTGTGGAACGTTTACGAGCTGTGTGGGTGGGCTGATTCCTTGCGTCACTGCTGCTATCCCTATGTGATTCCTCTGTGATGTGCCTTACCTTCGCTTTCGTTATTTTCTCCTCGATTCGTTTCAACATCTTCGTGGCTTCCTTGCTCCTACGTTCAGCCTCCTCTTTGATCTGTGAAGCCAAGCCGACGAATTGTAATTCCAGGCGCGACGTCTCTTGGTGAAGATATCCGCGATGTGCCCGGATTTTTTCATTTATCATCTGAGTGCCTTTGTTTCCCTCCTGTGCCACTACCTCTTTCACGTCCTCGTATAGCGTTTCGAACCATCCTCGGATCTTTTCCTGCTGTTGGCGCACCTCGAATCTAAGCTGTGCAATGGACTCTTCGACTTCCTTAGAAGAGCTATGCTTCCTTTACCTGGTGTTTCTGCCCAGAGTCATGCCTTTGACGCATTACTTCCTCTCGAAGGTCGTCTATCGACGCCCTGAGCTGCTGTATGTCCCAGTTGGATGTCTTTTCTTGAGACCTCTCCCGGGCTTCTCGTTGATGCTCAGCTCCGTTTCCAGTCCTTTGAGGGCGCCGTACATTTCCTTGAGTAGACGACACCCGCTTTCGTTGCCCTTCCTAATTTCTTGTTCGACCTCATAGATTTCCTTGGCTTCGTCGTCTAGGAGGGTGTTGTATCCTGTGCGAATTCTGTGCAGGATTGGTTCTATGGTGTCCTGTTTGTACTTTCGTGGGACTTGCTTCGGTTCGGGGTAACCAAGTTCCTCAGGTCGTGTAGGCACCTGGATCAGTGTTTCTTCCAACTCGTTTAAGAACATGACTCTATCGATTTTTTTCAGCTTCGTCCGCCGCTTTCAAAATTTCATACCATGGGCTTGGGCTAAGAATAGTTGGTCTGACCACGAATTCAGCTCTCCCTTCTCTCGATATGCCGCGCCCGGAGTTCCTTAAATTCTAATATGTACCGCAATGATTCCGATGTTGTGTAAAACGTTTCCCATCTCCTTTGTTTCAGAGCAATAAGGTCTAACTTTGCCTGTTCCAGTCGATCATCGAACACGTTGCACTTGTCGCCGTTGAACTTTGTTTTTTGCCGGAGCTGTGCTTTTTTTTGGTTGATTCTGTCATTGGTTGGCGGCACAGCGAATGCTTTTGTCATTTGGCTCTTGAACTGTGGGATATTGTCCATTGTTCATCGCCACTGACTCATCTCCATTCAACGGCCGTCGCAGTCCACGTTTTTTAGGAGTTACAATGCAAATATCTTTGGCTTCCGTGGAGAATTGTTGATCTTGGTGAATTTTTCGGTCCTCCTTTTCCCTACGTTCATAACTGGTACCGCTCTCGTGGGCATTGTGTGAGCGTCATCCTGGGTCCGCAGAAAGCCATGGCTAGCACTCCGAGCGCGTAGTACAACGTTTTCCTGTTCCACGAGTAATCCTCTTGTAAAACGCACCCTGCCACGGTGCGCAAAGAGTAGTCTGACACCATCCTTTTCGCCGTACTACATCGTTTTCGAGTTGTGTGCTGTGTATCATGTTTTCTGCAGTTTCTTTAAGTTTTTGCTCACGCTCCAAAATTGATGCTGCTTTTCTGCCAGTAGTCTGTGGTTCTTTTCGTGCAGGTTTCCGAATTTTTTCCACTGTGCTATTCTTGGGACGTGTATGGGCTTGCCTCTGATCCTGTCCGTATTTCTCGTCGGAATTGCTCTCTCTCGCGTTGCTGTACTTTGCTCCGTGTCTCGAAGGGCGCGT